CCTTCCTGTGGAAGGGGAGGGAAATGCTGAGCCGGCAGGGCCCTCGGGGGCTCTCCCCTCCTCCCCTCCCCCCCTCGTTTCCCTCTCCTCCCTCTTGGATTGGGTGCTGACTCAGCTTTCCTGCGGCTGCTTTTCCCCTCCGTACCTGGGACGGCCTTTTGCTGGCCTGTCCTGCGTGCGAGTGGAGAAAAGCCCCCGGGCCCTCCTGGGCCAGTAGGTTGGCGACCTAGACAGGACCTGGGGGAGGCTGCCAGCCGTTCTGTTTCTCGTGGGCCTTTTCTCCCGTGCTGGCCTGGGGTCTGGAAGGACGTCCCAAATGCTGTTGTGGCTGGACCGCTTCTTGTCTACGTGTTCTACGGTCAGAAACCCCGTTCTTCTCTGAGCTCCTGCAGCAGGGCTGTTGTTGTTTGTGCGTGGCTTTGACCTCTCTCGCTGTGTTGTCCCTCAAAGGCCGTAAGCATACAGCCACCCCCCAGGCCACAGCCGTGAAGTCTGCATGAACTTGCTGAGGCTGCTGGCAGGACGGGGCTGGTGAGAAAGCCAGGACGTGAGGTCCGGCTGTGACGGGAGTGCTTTCCCTGCCGCCTGGCGGGGCCACCGAACCCCCGGCGCTGTGGCTGCCTGAGCCCGTTTGGTTTGCTCCTGAGGCCAAGCCGAGCCTCCTTGCAAGAGTGTTTGCAGTTTTAAGTGAAATAATCTGTGTAGATCTTGTAGGGTGGGCCTGAAACCAGTCAATAGCGTTAACTGGTTGGCTTGGTTTGATTTATGTTATTAAAAAAATTTTTTTTAATGTTTATTTGTTTTTGAGACAGAGAGAGACAGAGGATGAGCAGAGGAGGGGCAGAGAGAGAGGGAGACACAGAATCTGAAGCAGGCTCCAGGCTCCGAGCTGTCAGCACAGAGCCCGACATGGGGCTCGAACTCATAGACTGTGAGACATGACCTGAGCCGAAGTCGGACGCTCAACCGACTGAGCCCCCCAGGCGCCCCTGATTTATGTTATTTTTTAAAAAGTCTGCTGGTTAAGAAGTGGGAGTGTGGTGGTTAACACAGCGGCTCTGAGTCAGGTGGGCTGGAAGCCGTTTCTCGTGTGTAGGGCTGGTCACTTGTCCCTGGTGCTGGGGCTCAGCATCGGCTCTGCGGCCTTGGAGCCAGCCCTCTGTCTGCAGTCCCCTGTGGCCTCGTCCCCTCCCGAGGCCGTTCTGCAGGAGCCTCACATCGGGCTCCCAAAACGGCTTCACCTTCTTCCTTGCTGTCCCTGCAGACCCGTTCTGTCCGTTGGCAAGATGGTCAGTTACTTCAGTGTTCTTTCTCTTATTTTCCTTTGCGCGGTGGGGAATTTCCAGGAGATACGGAGGTAGACAGAGGGTATACTGAACCCAGGTTCCCGTCACCCAGCCTGACAGCGACCAGCTCATCGCCACCTAAGTGTCATCTGTACCTGCACACACTTCTAGTCCTTCCCGTAGATGTATGTTTTAAAAGTGCAGTTGCCGGGCGCCTGGGGGGCTCAGTTGGTCGAGGTTCCCGCTTCCGCTGAGGTCACGATCTCGTGGTTCTTGAGTTCGAGCTCCATGTCGGGCTCACCGCTGTGAGCATGGAGCCCACTTCTGATCCTCTGTTCCCCTGTCTCTCTGCCCCTGCCCCACTCGTATTCGCTCAAAAGTAAACGTTTAAAGAAAGATTATGAGAATTATGAAAATTTGGAATACAGTGAGCGTACAAGAGCCACACACAGGTAAGGTACACGTTCTGACGGGCGTGGACGTGTCCACGCATGCGCAAGGCAGCCTCGGGAGCGGGCATCTCTGTCGCCTGTGCGGGCTCCCTCGTGTCCTCTGACCTGCGTCCCCCCACCGCTGTCCCCAGGCAGCCCGAGCTGCGTTCTGCCTCTGCAGGTTACTTTGCGTGTTCTAGAATTTTACGTACGTGGACTTGGTCAGTAGTGCTGTTGTTTTCTCCTGACTCCTTTCAGCACACGATTTTCGGGTGGTCGTGTTTCCTCTTTGTTTCTGAGGAGTTTTCCCTCGGGGGATAGACTGCAGTTTGTTGACGACTGTTCGGGTCCTGTTGGACTCTGGTGATTATGAACAAAGCCGTTGTGAACATCCACATGGGGGTCTCGTGTGGCCATGTCTTTGGTTCTTTGGGCAAATACCCGGGAGTGGGGTTGCTGGATTTTATGACAGCTTTCTCGAAGAGGAACTGCCAAGGTGTTTTCCAAAGGGATCCGCCTGCTTTGCACCACACCACCAGTTCAGGAACCTCTGTGTAGCCCCCCCCCCCGTGCACCAGCATGTGGTGTTGCAGTGGGTTGGTTTTGCGGTTTCTGATTTGAGCTGTGTAGTGGTATTTTAGTGTGTGTGTCTGTGTGTGTGTGTGTGTGTGTGTTTCAGTGTTTGTTTAGAGAGAGCTCAAGCAGGGGAGGGGCAGAGAGAGAGAGGGACAGAGAGAATCCCAAGCAGGCTCCACACTTTCAGCACAGAGCCTGACGCGGGGCTTGAACCCACGTACCGTGAGATCATGACCTGAGCTGAAACCAAGAGTTGGATGTTTAACCAACTGAGCCACTCAGGTGCCCCTCATTGTGGTTTCAATTTGCATTTTCCTAATCACTAATAATGTTCATCGCCTTTTGCCTGTTTTTAAGAACTGATTTCTTTCTCACTATTGAATTTTGAGTATTCTTTTTAAAAAACATATTTTCTTTAACATTTATTCACCTTGAGATAGAGACAGAGTGTGAGGGGCGGGGGGCAGAGAGAGAGGGAGACAGAGAATCTGAAGTAGGCTCCAGGCTCTGAGCAGTCAGCACAGAGCCCGACGCAGGGCTCGAACTCAGGACTGTGAGATCATGACCTGAGCTTAAGTTGGACACTTAACCGACTGAGCCACCCAGGCTCCCCAATAGCTTAATTTTCAATAAAAGTTCGACTTGTTCACATTTTTCTTTCATAAGTTGTGTTTTTTGCCTCTTAAGAAATATTTGCCTAAATATTTGCTCTTGAGCTCACAAGGGCTTTCTTGTATGTTTTCTAGAAGTTTTACAGCTTAGGTTTTCTTTTTAAATCTTTTCATCCATCTTGAGGGAATTTTTACATGTGGTGCAGTGTATGAGTTGAAAGTTTATTATTTTGCATGTGGATGTCCACTGGTTCCAGCACCGTTGTTAATGACACTGTCCTCTCTCTATGAAATACCCTTGTCACCTTTGCAAAAGTCAGTCGACAGTGTAGGAGTTGGTTTATTTATAGACTTGGTTCTGTTTCACTGACCTCCATGTGTGTCCTTTGGCCAAAGAAGACCTTGGTTACTTAGCTGTATAGTAAGTGTTGGAAGTGGGTAGGATAATTTCTCTTTGTCTTCTTTTATTTATTTTTAAAAAAAATTTTTTTTTCAACATTTTATTTATTTTTGGGACAGAGAGAGACAGAGCATGAACGGGGGAGGGGCAGAGAGAGAGGGAGACACAGAATCGGAAACAGGCTCCAGGCTCCGAGCCATCAGCCCAGAGCCTGACGCGGGGCTCGAACTCACGGACCTCGAGATCGTGACCTGGCTGAAGTCGGACGCTTAACCGACTGCGCCACCCAGGCGCCCCTCTTTGTCTTCTTTTAAAACATTGTTTTGGTTATTCTACCTCCTTTGCATTTCCATGTACATTTTATTTTAAAGTTTATTTTCATTTATTTGAGAGAGTAAGTGGGAGAGGGGTTAGAGAGAGAGGGAGAGACAAAATCCCAAGCAGAATCAGCACGGAGCCCGACCTGGGGCTCGAACTCACAAACCGTGAGATCATGACCTGAGCCAAAGTCAAGAGTTGGACACGTAACCGACTGAGCCACCCAGGTGCCCCACATTTCCATATAAATTTTAGAATCAGCTTGTTGGTTTTTGCATAGTTTTGTTAGGAATTGCATTGAATCGATAGGTCGTTTGGAAAGATTTGCTGTTGCATTTTCCAGTATTGGGTCTTTCAATCCATGAACATGGTATATCTTTCTACTTACTTAGGTCTTTCCGTGTTTCTCTAGCAGTCCTCTGTTATTTTAGTGTGGCGTCGTGGACACCTTTTGTTAGATTTGTTCTCAGGCAGTTAAGCTTTGGGCACCACTGTAAATGGGATTCTGTGTTAAATTTTATTTTCCAGTTACCTGCTGCTCATAAGAAAGAACACACTTGATTTTCATACATTAACCGTGATCTTTTGCTAAATTTATTGATTCTGGTACTTGATTGGTAGATTTATTAGGATTTGCTGTAAGAAATAATTATATCATCTCTGAGTAGGGACAGTTTTACTTCTTCCTTTCAGTCTTCACGATTTTATTTCTTTTCCTTGGTCTTGTTGAGGTGACTAGGCCCTTCAGCCTTTCCTCACGGAGATGACGTAAGCTGTAGGTTTTTCACAGATGCCCTGTATGAGTTTGAGGAAATTCCTTACTATTCCTAATGTTGTTTTTACTAGGTGCGCCCACAGCATTGTAGTTATGTTGAAAGAAACAGTCTGTCACTTTTAGGAGGAATGCTGACGTATTTGTGAGGGACACACTGGTAACATTTGTGGCCTGCTTCTGAATAATGTGGAACGGGTGTGGAAAACGGTTGTGACAAAAAGCGTCCATTCCTGGCAAGAGCCTCAGTGCCGCGAGAGGCACACGGCCTCTAATTCTGCCTTACTGTGGAGTGACGTTAGGCTTGACCACCCGGTTGAGGTGGCGTCCACCAGGCTTCTCTGGGGTGTAGTTACCGTTTCCCCTTTTTAATTAATACATACCTCGGGCGAGGTCCTGGGGAGCTATGCGGAGATCGCGGTTCCACTTGGACTTCCGCACCACAGGTGGACCTCACCTGCCGCCACTGCTTACTGCTGTGTTCTAGGCCTCATCCTCTCCTCGGCTGTTGATCAGAACTCCGTTTTCATGTTTCATCCCATGAGCCGTGATGCACTCCTGCTGTTACAACCTCGTTTCACATTGTTCCTGTGCTGGCCACCGAGGGCTCTCCGGTTCGTCCCATGTCCCTTTGGCATGCCCCCTGCTTTCCTGAGCACATCCTTGTTTTCTAGAACCACAGATGCTCTGGAGTCACCTGAAATCTCCCATGTTCCAAACCTTCGAATCAGCAGCATCTCTGAGGAGCTCTGGTTTCTTTCTCTTTTTTTTTTAATTATTTAAAAAAAAATTTTTTTTTTAACATTTATTTATTTTTG